GCGATCGGACCTCTTCCTTGTTTGGGACTTACATGTGAGCCTGGCTGGCTAGTGAGCCCCAAGACGACCCCCCACCGTCTGTGTCTCCCCAGTGCTTTGATGACGAGCTCTTCCATGACGGGGTTTGGTTTTCTCTGTATGTTTGCTTGCCTGTATGCCTGTGTACCAGATGTGTGCCTTGCGCCATGTAGGTTTTGGGAATGGAACTCAGCTCCCCTGAAAGAGCAGCCAGTTCTCTTAACGGCTGAGCCATCCCTCCAGCCATGTTTCTGTTGAGATTTTATTGGTTGTGGACCAGCACACAGACGTTTCAATTCTTAACACATGTACGAAACCTCTGGAGTCACGTGTTCCTTTTTGAACAGTTACTCAGAGACGTTCCAGACTCAGATCTGACAAGTTTTCCTTAAGACCTCAAACAGTCAAATTCTCTGACTCTTCATTTCCGCTGACTCACAGTTTTATGCTGCACACGGTACATGCTTAGTTTTATACTGCACACGGTACATGCTTAAGTTTTGTACTGCACATGCTTAAGTTTTATACTGCACATGGTACATGCTTAAGTTTTATGCCGCACATGGTACACGCTTAAGTTTTTTTGTTTTTTATTTATTTTTTTTTAATTTATTATGTATATAATATTCTGTCTGCGTGTATGCCTGCAGGCCAGAAGAGGGCACCAGACCTCATTACAGATGGTTGTGAGCCACCATGTGGTTGCTGGGAATTGAACTCAGGACCTTTGGAAGAGTAGGCAGTGCTCTTAACCGCTGAGCCAACTCTCCAGCCCCCGACATGCTTAAGTTTTATGCTGCACATGGTACATAAGTTTTCCATCTTTTGCAGCACATTATCACAATTTTTAGGAGAAGTGGGCTGTCACGACCATTGTCGTTCCAGTCCTGACAGGGCAAGGACAGAGGAATGGCTTTATAAGAAATGTTCTACTAGAAACAGGAAAGCTGATATAATTTAAAATATTCCGGATATGGACTGGAGAAATGGCTCAGCCATTAAAGACTAGACTCACAACCAAAAACATAGATGAGTTCAGTTCCCAGCACACATGGCCATCTCTCCAGCAGACACAATACAGAGCGGACACTCCAGTCTGCAGCTTGGTGTGTTTTGTCCTGTGGGATGTAAAACTAGCCACCTTGGAGCTGGAGAGATGGCTTAGCAGTTCAGAGCACTGGCTGCTCCTCCAAAGGACCCAGGTTCAATTCCCAGCACCCACACGGCAACTCACGACTGTAACTCCAAGATCTGACAGCCTCATGCAGACATACATACAGGCAAAACACCAATGCACATAAAATAAAAATAAATTTAAAAAACCCAAAAACTAGCCACCTCTATGGAATGTTACTGTGACTCCAGAGACCATCAGAGTCTCAAAGACTCAGGATCCTGTTGTCTTTCTGTTGTCCCAAACACTTAAGTAACTATCAAATGATTTCACAATTTTTTTTTAAAGACAGGGTTTCTCTGTGTAACTCTGGCTGTCCTGGAATTCACACTGTAGACTAGGCTAGCCTCAGATTCACAGGGATCTGACTGCCCCTGCCTCCTGAGTGCTGGGATTAAAGGAATGCACCACTACTGTTCAGCTATGATTTCACTTCTTAAGAAATAATTAACATGGGCTGGAGAGATGGCTAAGAGGTTAAGAGCACTGGCTGCTCTTCCAGAGGTCCTAAATTCAAGTCCTGGCAACCACTTAGTGGCTCACAACCGTCTGTTATGAGATCTGGGTGCCCTCTTCTGGCCTTCAGGGATACATGCAGGCATGTATACATAATAAATAAATCTTTAAAAGTAATTATTAATAACTTACACTTTAAATATGGAATGTGGTGGGGATCCCCACCCTCCATTTTACAAATGTTTCTAGGACAACTAAAAGAATTCATTTATAAAATAGTTGATAGACCTGGTGGTGGTGCACACCTTTAATCCCAGCTCTCGGGAGGCAGAGGCAGGAGGATCTCTGTGAGTTTGAAGCTAGCCTGGTCTACAGAGCGAGTGCCAGGACAGCCAGGGTTAACAGGGAGAAACCATCTCTAAAAACCAAAAATTATTAATCATAATAAATTAGCTGATACCTACTCGAGGAGGGGGTGGGGCCCGTGACAACACAGCAGGTTACTCACACTCGGGGTCTTGTTTCTCTGCTGCAGAGAGGGGCCCAATCAGGAACCCAGTTTGTGTAGCTTCGGGAATGCTTGTCTTTTGGAAAGTCACTGACCTTTCTGTAGAAATCTTATGAAGTCATGGCTCTTCTCCCTTCCATCATGGGATTCACTCCAAAATATCCCAGCAGTATATAAATTATTCTTTGAGATAACTTCTTCCTGTATGGGCAACTGGATGACCTCACCCCCACCATGGGGCCCTGGTATAAAAGCATTTATTCAGCCAAACCTTTGATCTTATGATCAAATCTACATAAAGCTAGTCTTCCACAATTATCCTTATTGACGGGAAAGGAACCCTGAGCAGGAGGCACCGAGCAGAGAGACAGCCTGTCTGCTCCTACTGATACACAGGTCTGGGTGGCCCTGATTCCCTAGCAGCAGACTCAGGAAGGTGTAACCCGCTGACCTTTGCTCTGCCCTAGCAAACTATTAATACTCTGTGCTTACCTTCTCCTTTCCTTTGGCACAAGGTCTTAGTCTAGGAATTAACTGTGTGCCCCTTTACCCCTAAAATATGCAGGAACAAACCTTGGGTTGCTAAACCAACCCCAGAGTCCTTCTCGCCTGGGTGTCAGCGGATACAGCACCAGGATGCTCAGCCAGGGGACAAGCTGCATCCTAATCCTCCCAGGACCTGCCAGGGAGCTTCACAGCCACGGCCCTCCTGAGACAGACTGTGCCTACGATGTCAGTCTTTTATCCATGCTGTTAGCCCTAAGAAAGGTGTGCTTGGTAGCACTGGTATTTACCAGAGAATTGTTAACTATGTGCCTGCGGGTCCGTGAACTGGAAACCTGTTTGGATGGGAAAGCAGTGAGCAGCCTCGAAAGAGAGCCCTCGAGAGGGAGCGCCAGAGACCTTTAGAGAGAGCACAGGAAGAATAAATGGGACCCGATGAAAAGACTTACGGGAGCTAATTTATTTTGTTTACCTTGAGACCTTACTAGTCAGGTTTTCGCTGCTATAGCGATCCTTCTGAATCCTGAAAGGTTTCAACATAAGCTGTTGATTTTTGTTTTTGTGTTTTTAGGCAGTCTGCCCAGGCGTTGTCACCCAGAGATGTGATAATCCATGTCTTCCCCATGATGACGTCACGGCACAGCTCCTCCGATGGCCTCAGTCCCATCAGGCCCGTAAGTGCCATTTTCCTATTTGTTTTGTAGACAAGGGAACCGAAGCCAAACAGGGCCGTGCGTCACCGCAGGTCAGACAGCCAATAGATGACAGAGCTAGGATTTGAACCCAGCACTCTCAATCCAGTGCTGTCAATCATACCTAGTTGGTCTGTCATTCTCTATCCCTCCATGTTGTCACCAAACATTTTCAAGTCTTCCTCCACACCCCAACTGTGCACAGCCTCATTTCCAGTGGAAACTTAGTGGGGTGGGGAACACAGCCACGGTCCCCTTCCCTGGTTAATACTCGAGAATATGCTGGGGTCTAGGATCCCTGAGCAAGCTGCGGTTCCTCCTCCGGCCAGGACTTGAAGGGGCATGTGATGTAAGAAAGGGCCCAGGCCGGCAATACGGTTCTGCAGGTAAAGGTGCTTGTTGCCATGCCTGACAACCCGAGTTCAACCCTGGGATCCACACGGTGGAAGGAGAGAGCTAACTCTCCCTAGCAGTTGTCCTCTGACATATATGTACTGTGGCATGGCATGTGCGCACACATACAAACACACGAGATAGAAATGTGAACTACAAGTGCCCTGACGGTAGGCGTTGTATTAGGGTTCTCGAGAGGAGCGGGCCGATAGACTACATGCACATGCGCAGTATGAGATGCGTAGACCAGCCTGCCTCTGCTTTCGAGGGCTGGGATTAAAGCTGTGCGCCACCATGACTGGTTTAAACCCATCATTCTGAAGGGTCTAAATCCAGGATTAGGCGAGCCCCACTGATGCAGCCTCTGTAAGGCCTGGGGTGGATGGTGACATGTCACAGCAGGAGCTCCTGTGACCACAGACCTAGCACCAAACAGAAGGTCAGAAAGAGGACCACTCCCCCAGCTCCCATACAGGCACCTCCCACAATGGCCCACACCATTCCCAATAGGAGGGACTCTGCTGGAGGACTGGACAGATGGCTCAGTGGTTAGGAGTACTTGATGCTCTTGCAGAGGACCTGGGTTCCTACCTAGCACCTGAATGACTGTTTACAACCTTTCACTGTAATTCCAGTTAAACACACACAGAGAAACATGCGCACACACACACACCGCAGCACCTAGGTCTCCCCAGGAAAGGATGGGCTCCACATTCAGGTTTTAAAAGGCATCTGGGAGATGACTTGGGGAATCAGAGTGAGAACTGGAGCCCAGAGTCCTCAGAAGCCAAGCAAATGCCAGGTGGGCAAAGTGGCTGCCTGTCCTTCCAGCCTTGAAGGCAGAGACTGAGGAGGGAGGGATCCCCAGGATGAACTGGCTGGTGAGGCCAGCCACATCAGTGAGTGGGCTTGACTGAGACACCCTGCCTCAGTGAACAAGGTGGAGGAGGTTGAGCCTGACACCAAGCGTGGGCCTCCACATGCACAAGCACACACATGTACACAGACGCACACATGTGCTCACATGCCTGGAAATATGCATACACACACACACACACCCCACACAAAAAACAGAAAAATAAAAACAGATTTGAAGAGCAGCAACAGAAGGAGGGTTTCAGTCTCCCAAACACAAAAGTGGGGTGCCTTTGGGAGACTCGCCCATGCTGTGCCATGGCCTAGGCGGAGGTCCTGAAGAACAGCGCCTCCACCCAGGCCCTGGGAGGCAACAGACAGACGCTTGCTTCCAGAAGCCTCACGCTTCCCTCCCATATGCATTTATTGGTTCTCCTTAATGTTACTCCCCGTTTTTAAAGTAGGAATGGCTGGGACGGCAGGCTGAGGGTCGGGACCCCAAGTCCTGGGGACACTGCAAGCTGACTATGACTTTGCAGGCCTGGATCTGGACTTCCTCCTCGGGGTGGATGACCAGGGAGAGCAGTCGGTCGGCCAGTCTGGACTCATCCCCAAAGAGGGCTTCGTGCAGGGACTGCTCGTTGTAATGCCACTTCACTGCTCGGTAGTGGGTTGAGTTCCGGCCCTCACTCAGCCGCTCAGCAAACACCAGCACCTCGAACAGCAGACTCCCCGGCTGTGAGGACTGGAAGAGGTTCAGGAAGTTGGAATGCACCTGTGTTGGGGGCGGAAGAGAACCGTGAACTCTGGCCTGTTCTAAAATCTGCACTCAAGTGGTTTCCTGAGATTAATTTTTAAGACTCAGTGTATGAGGCTAGAGAGAGGGGCTTGGCCATTAAGAGCTCTGACTTCCCTTGCAGAGGACTGGTATTGGATGCTCAGCACCCACATGGGTGGCTCACAATTCTCTGTAGCTCCAGTTCCAGGAGTGCTGACGCCCTCTGTTGGCCTCCACAGGCACCGCACACAGGTGATGCACAGACACACATGCAAACACCCATGCACATTAAAAAATAATTAAAAAAAAATCTACCCAGTGAACACAATCCTCCCAACACCCCTTCAGCATCCCATCAGCCCCCTCCATCTTTTTTTCACCTGACAGTTGAGAATGTCATAGAGAAGGTCATTCTTCTGCGCCAGGTAACTCAGCAGGCGGACAGCTTGTACCTGAATAAGGAAGAGCAGGAGAGGGCTGGTGGGTCTGGGCCTCAGCAGGGGTGGCTGGAACCTTTGCTCTTCCCTCTGGGTGCTGCTCTGTGGCCCTGATGGGCAGGCACCTGTGCCAGGACATAGTCCGACTGCATAATCTCCATCAGGGCGGGCATCACCCGCCGCAGCTGCGGGTGCACGTAGTCAGGGAGCGGGAGGTTGTTGAGGAGGCGAAGGCCAGCTACATGCAGCTCTGTGTCCCAGATGGTCGAGATCAGCTCCAGCACCTTGATGGAATGTTCCTGGGGTGGAGAGAAGGGTCTGCTTTCATATGGTGACCTCCCTGACACACCATGCTCCATGTCACCCTTCACTGACCCACCCGGGACCCAGTAGACAATGCTCCCCACCTTGAACGGGAAGCAACGCATGCCTTGGTCAGCCAGGCCCACCTCATGTGGATTTTACTCCTTGCTAGTCTCCCTCCCAAGCCTTCTACTCAACACTCTCTTCTCCGCTGCACCCCCTTGGTAAGGTCACCAACCCACCCCACCCGTCAACCCCACTCTCTCCATACCCCAAACCTGCTTCCTTGGTCTCACGGTGAAAACCGGGAGCAAAGAACAGAGCAGAAGGATTTGAATGCATGCAATTTGTGCATACATAAGAGGAGCACGTTTAAAATTGCAGAGAAGATGACCGTGCTTGTTAAAGAGATTGACAGCATTAAAGAAAAGGCGAACACTTCGCATGAGACGATAGGAAATGCTAATTTCTGGACATTTGAGGTGAGACCCCACTCCAGGGTATGAAACTGGAGATTCACTAGTAAGACCTTCCTTTCCAAGAGAATGCCACCAGAGTGCTCTGTTCGCAAAGGGCCACCTAGAAAAGGCTGTTGTGACTGCGGTATAAGGTGGCCTTAGCCGCTGCCCAAGCTGGCAGCAGGACTTGGCGTCATAACTGTGGACAGGCTTTGCAAGCACGCAGAGTACAAAGATGTCACAGATGCTTCCACCAAGATTCCAGAGAACAGAGAAGCCCAAAGCCCAAGAAGACAAGCAGGGATGTCTGCTGAGGAGGAAAGCCATGGGTATAGATGAAGGTGGATCCAGCCCAAGAGAGAGCAGCAAATGCAAGACCTTAGGGGTGGGGTAAGCACCTATGGTACTCCGTGTCACCACAGCTTCAGCATCCAAACATGGAGCTGCAGGATGTAATGCCCACCCTGATGGGCTTTGCTCCTATCCCCCCTTTATCCACCACCATTCCACTATCTCCCCATCCCCCTCTCCCCCCATCCCCTTCCTCCCTTTTGGAATGGGAATGTTCACTCTGGGGTTATATGTTGGAAGCATCTTTTTGATTTTACAGGCATTCACAGTTAAGAGTCTATGCCGAGTCTCAGAGCAGAGTGTACCTACAAACACTATTGGAATTGTTCAGACTTGGGAGACTTTAAGAGATGGATTAAATGAATTAATTATGCATTAGAGATGACTGAATCTTGGGGGCAGAGGAGGAATTCTATAGTTAGAATATGAAATATAGGGGCTGAAGAGGTGGCTCAGAGGTTCAGAGCCCTTGCTGTTCTCACAGAGGACTCAAATTCAGTTCTCAGCATCTGTGAGGTGGCTCACAGCTGCCAGGAAGTCTAGCTTCAGGGGACTATGTCACCCTCTTCTGGCCTCCAAGCTCACTGCACTCATGTGTACATACCCACACACAGATACACACACATGCACAGAACTTTTAAAAAAATGAATATAAAGTATTCTCTACAGGCAGAGGTTTGGAACCTTTTGGGGGTGGGACCTCATTGGCTGAAGTGGGTCGCTGTGGGTGGGGTTTAAGGGCTAGATCCATCCCTCCATCCTCTCTCTCCCTCACCTCCCATCGTCTGTGCTGAACACCACCATGTCACACACTCCGCCACCACGAGCTATTCCCCCGACAGTGGATGGAGCCCCCTGAAACTGTGAGTCAAAGTACACCTTGCCCCTTTACGTTGTGGGGTATCGCCGCTGTGAAACCACAGTAACTAATACACTATTATCCCTCTGCATACAGAGCCCCAGACACAGCAAACGGCTCTATCCACCTGCCTGCCTTGCCGTTCAAACAGCACAGACGCACCTACAGCATCAAAAGGGCCATGCTCTTGCTCTTGGGGCAGGCCATATTTGGGGAAGGGTCTGCGTGCGTGAGCACATGTGTGGAGGTCAGAGGACAGCTTGTGGGAGCTGGTTCTCTCCTTCACCGTGTGGGGCCTGGGGATTAAATTTAGGTGGTCAGGCTTAGAAGCAAACACCCTTAGCTACTGAGCCATCTTGCCCTGGGTTTTGTTTGAATTGTTATTCTTTCTGCATCACACACAAAATATGTTTCCAGCAGGGCTGTGGTGGCACACACCTTTAATTCCAGCAATCAGAGGCAGAGGCAGACAGATCTCTGTGAGTTCAAGACCAGCCTGGTCTACAGAGTGAGTTCCAGGATAGCCAGAGCTACACAGAGAAACCCTGTCTTAAAAACAGCCAATATGTGAGTGTGAATTAAATATTTAACTTTTTACTTCTTAAAGAATATATGATTAGTGTGTGTGTGTGTTTGTGTGTGTGTGTATGTGTAAGACTTCGAGTACATGTGTGCCCTGGCTTGCATGTGGGGGTCAGAGGACGGCTTTTGGGGGTCAGTTCTCTCCATCCACTGGTTTCTAGGACTCGAACTCAGGTCAGCATGTTTACCTTTCCAGTCCTTAGCCATTTTTAACTGGTGAGGAAGAGGCATTTTGCCTGAAAGCAACTTGGGGTCAAAAACCTTACATTTTAGAATTTACTTTTTTTTTGTTGTTGTTGTTTTGTTTTTTGTTTTTTTTAAATATTTATTTATTTATTTATTTATTATGTATACAATATTCTGTCTGTGTGTATGCCTGTAGGCCAGAAGAGGGCACCAGACCCCATTACAGATGGTTATGAGCCACCATGTGGTTGCTGGGAATTGAACTCAAGACCTTTGGAAGAGCAGGCAATGCTCTTAACCTCTGAGCCATCTCTCCAGCCCAGTTGTTTTGTTTTTTTCTGAGTTATCAGACCCTAGACCCTGGCCTTCACCTCCTGATTCTCCTGCCTCCACCTCTGCTGGCTTCTGGGGTCCTGGGGATCAAAGTCCAAGCCTCTTCTTGTGAGGCCAGGACTCCCCCAGCTGAGGTAACTGGGTCCCCGGCTGCTGTTTGCTTTTTAAATATCCCCATGGTGAGCCCTTAGGTCACAAAAAAGACTAAACCAGGATTAGGGGACAGGAATCTTCAGCCCCACTCCAAGCTCCACAGAGGGAGGTGGCAGAGCTGGTGGCCACTGGGTTGCCATTCCCACACAGGGGAGTGCCCAAGAGACTGAGCAATAGGGTTTGGCCTGTGGAAAACAAACCCCCATCTTTTCTCCTAACCTTGGCCTATTTCTCCTTCTGGCCTCACCTGTGTGTTATGCCCTGGTGTCTAAGAATAGGAGGGGCTTTCTGCTCTTTGGGGGGGTGGGGGGTATCCAGTGTCATTCAGATGTGTGGAGATGAGTGTGCCTCCCTATGAGGAGGTGGACCACCACCTCCTAGTTTGTTTCTGGGTTAGAAACTCATATTCAAACAAACTTACAGGACCCGACCATTGACCCTATGGAAATCAAAGGACCCAGACCCTGGGGACAGCCGTCCTGGGGCCTGGCAGGCTCACCTGGATTTTGAGCCTGAACTTCCTGATTCCAGAGAAAGCTTTAAGAGCGTTCAGAGCTTGGATTTTGACGCTGTTGTCCTTGTCATCCAGCATCTCCCCCACCAGGCTGATGTCATCGGTCGTACAAGCCGAGGCCTAGAGCGTGTGAGGAGAGGAGGGAGAGACAGGAGAAGCGGGCGGGGGGGGGGGGG